GGCATTAGAGAATCATTGGTTCAGTCAATTCAAGGCAGTAAGGTGAAGACGAGGCCTGTATAACGAGTAATCCTCAAAGTGACATAGTAAAAGAATAAGGAATAGGTCATTACAATTCAATAAAACAAAGTTAACTAAATGTGTGAATTGAAAAAAAAAAAAAGAGAGATGTTCCACTTGATGGCCTTATTATTAGGGAAAAAGCCTTATCATACTATAAAACAATATGTGAGGAGGAAGGACAGCTCAGAAATGAGTGTATGCTTTGTTCTGGATGGTCTATCAGATTTAGAATACACAGTGGTTTGCATAATATCAAGTTCAGTGGGGAAGGTGCCTCTTCTGACCATGTGGCTGCAGAAAAATTCTCACCCGACCTAGCTAGCATTATCTCTTAAGGTGGCTCCAAACCTGTGCAGGTGTTTTGGAAAACGATATTCTCCAGAACATGCATCAGCAAACATGTGAAAACTGCTCCTAGAATCAAGGCTGCAACAGACCATTTCATCATGCCTCTTTGTGGTAATGCATCAAGAGACTTTAATTGTAAGCCCTTGTTTTCTTTTCACTCCAAGAATCCCTGTGGTTTAAAGAATAAAGGCAAGAGCATGTTGCCTGTTATTTGGAAGTCAGTGCCACAGCAAGGGTAACTGAGTCCTTTTTCACTGAGTGGCTCAGGCATCACTCTATTCCTGAAGTGAGGATATAGCTGTCCTTGAAAAATCTTCCATTCAGGGTTCTCCTCATCCTTGATAATTGTTGTAGTCATCGTCAACTGGGAGACATGTATCCAGGTGTCAAGATTGCTTTTTTGTTTTTTACCACCAAATACAACATTCTTGATTAAAACCAGTGGATTGAGGAGTTATCAAAACATTTAGATGCCCCTACACACGAATTGTGGTAATTGATGACACAGACAGTGGAGTGCCAGAGTTTTAGTGCAAATTTAATGTTGTGGATGCTTCCTTTGTGAAAAAAACATGGGATCATGTTCTGAGATCAACAGGAAATGTTGGTTGAAGAAAAATATGGCCTAGTGTGGTGAATGGTGTTGCTGGTTTTCCATTCAGTGGAAAGTCAAGCTCAGGGATTGTTTATCTGGCAAGAAGAGTGCCAAGTGAAGGATTTGAAGATATACAGCCAGATAACATCAATAAACTCTTGGAAGATGACGATGAGGAACCAACTGTAGAGGATATGTTGCGGGAATTAAATTCCCAGCTGCAGAGAACAAAGGACGAGAACGAAGAACATGAGACTGAAGGGGCGAAGCTGACATTGCAAGAGATACGTGAGTTACTGCACACTGTTGTTAAAGTTGCAAACTTCTTTATTGAAAAGAATCTTGACTCATCTTGAAGCATTGCTATAAAGCGTGCTCTGGAGTGGGTGCTTTGACCTTATCATCTGCTGTATAAAGAACTGCAGGGTAAAACAAACCAGCATATGACAAAGTACCTGAGCACTCCACTGCAAGACCTCCAACCTTAACCCTTTCAGGGTCGACAGGCCCTCTCCAAGACTCGTTCTCAGGGTCGGCCAAATTTAAAAAAAAAAAAATTCTTATGAAAAGATAGAGAATCTTTTCCCAATCATAATGACACCAAAAATATGAAATTTGATGTAAAACTTACGGAAATAAGCTCTTGCGAAGTTAGCGGTCTCGGCGATGTTTACGGATCGGCGATTTTGCCCACTTTGAGCCCCATTTTCGGCCAGTTCCACTGTACTAGTCGACAGAAAACATGAATATTTCGCTAGAACTCCATTGTTTCTATTGAATGAGTGCAAGAAACCACCCATTTACCAATTTCAAATATCCAGTACAGTGGTCAGAATTTAGCAATTTTGCCAATTTCACACAAATTTCAAAAGATGCCAATTTCTGAATAGGGTCCAGAACAAACAAGAAATACATTCCTGGCACTAAAATGACATTTCTTCTGTTCATTAGTCACGTCTCAAGGCCCCTCTTACATTCTTTTGCTTTCCACTTTGAATTTTTATTCTCACAAAAAATAGAAGATTTACTGTTATGCAGACTACTGCATTAGTGTAAAAATTGGTATGAATCAAATTGGCGCACTTGCAAAAGAATATTAGACTCACCAGTTGACGTGTATTGGACGCTTGGCATGATTTGTTTACTTTTGAACTTTGGTAAAAATCGAACATTTCTGCTACTTTGAGCTCAATTTCAGGGTACTTTTCATTGTAAAACCAGTCAACATCATCTCAATTTCTATGATATGCCTTTCATTCTATAAAATGAGACCAAGAAAATTAGAAGACAGTGGACCCTCAACCAGCGATATTAATCCGTTCCTGAGAGCTCATCGTTAGTCAAAATAATCGTTAGTCAAGTTAATTTTCCCCATAAGAAATAATGGAAATCAAATTAATCCATGCAAGACACCCAAAAGTATTGAAAAAAAAAAATTTTATCACATGAAATATTAATTTTAATACACACAAACTGAAGATTACATGCACAGTTACATGACACTTACCTTTATTGAAGATCTGGTGATGATTGATGGGATGGGAGGAGGGGAGAGCGTTATCTTCTTACTGTTTAGAAGGGGAATCCCCTTCCATTAGCACTTGAGGCAGCAAGTCTTTTTCTGGGGTTACTTCCCTTGTTCTTTTAATGCCACTAGGACCAGCTTGAGAGTCACTGGACTTCTGTCGCACAACATATCTGTCCATAGTGGCCTGTACCTCTCTTTCCTTTATGACTTTCCTAAAGTGGTTCACAACAGTGTCATTGTACAGGTTGCCAACACGGCTTGCAGTAGCTTTCTGAAGGTGATTTTCATCAAAAAAGGTTTGCACTTCAAGCCACTTTGCACACATTTCCCTAATGGGAGTGCCTTTTCCTCCTGAGTAATGTACGTCCTGCTTGGCATTTTCTTCCAAAACAGGCCTGTTTCGTCACAATTAAACACTTGTTCAGGTTTCAGTCCTTCACTGTCTATGTACTCCTTGAAGTCCTGCACATATTTTTCAGCCGATTTGTGGTCCGAACTGGCACCCTCACCATGCCTTATCACACTATGAATGCCACTACGCTTCTTAAATCTCTCAAACCAACCTTTGCTGGCCTTACATTCACTCACATCACTAGTTGCTGGCATTTTTTTAATTAAATCGTCATGCAACTTCCTAGCCTTTTCACATATGATCACTTGAGAGATGTTGTCTCCTGCTATCTGTTTCTCGTTTATCCACACCAATAACAGTCTCTCAACATCTTCGAGTACTTGCGATCTCAGTTTCGAAAACATAGTTGCACCTTTGGCAAGAACAGCTTCCTTGATTGCCGTTTTCTTGCCCACAATAGTAACGATGGTTGATTGGGGTTTATTATACGTACAACCTGACCAGCTCAGAGATACGCACTCCACTTTCATATTTATCAATGATCTCTTTCTTCATCTCCATAGTAATTCTCACCCTTTTTTGCTGTAGGGTTGGCACTAGAAACTTTCTTGGGGCCCACAGTGACTTATTTTGCAGGTGCAATCACTAGAAGGCTGTGATAATATGAAATGTTCCAGTTGTATGTTTGGAAGCGACCGCGGTGGCTGGCTGGCTTGTAAACACTGGCACCAAAGGGACAAGTGAGGCGCGCTCAGGCCAAAGTGGACGCGTATGGTACAGAACGAAAAGCGCTGGTCGGGTTTTTAAGCTCTAGTCGAGGCAAAATTTTTGCGTTTAAATGAATCGCTAGTCAGATTTATCGTTAATCGATGCAATCGCTGGTTGAGGGTCCACTGTACAACAATAAATACCATACGAAAATACAGTACAAAGTCGCTGTTTTATTCCAAAAAAATGGTCAAAGTTTTTTTTTTTTCATTATGCACTGTGTGCTGCAGGATTTTTTTATACCGTGCACACTGACCACATAGACCCATTCTTTCATATGGAGGCCTACCAGCTTTCTCCCACTAGATTTGAGGGCGCTAGAATTTAGGCATACTAGTACGTCAAAAACCCTGGGTCGTAAGCCGTACTAGTACGTCCGAAACCCTCAAAGGGTTAAACCTTGGCGCAGTAGGGCCACAGCCACCCTCTACTCACTTCACGACGTTAAGCATCTTGACCTCAACTTGAAGGTAAGTAATAAAGAGTATACAGTATTAGTGTAACATTTTAGTTACTATACTCTTTCTTTCAACTGTCTGAACTTCACTAGAGTTCATGTATTTCACAAAGCATTGTCATCAACAATGTTATATATGGGAAAACTATTGTTTTTATGACCAAAAATATTTATAATAATAATCCATACCACAGGCGGGGACAGAACCCACGAGTTATAATAATAATATCTGTATTTCTACAAGTACGTGTACAAGGTATACAGGCCTAGCTGACATCATTTACATACTACTATATAGAAAATCACTTGTTATGCAGAGCATTTCAGGCAAATTAGGTCAGTTTTGTCCCCAGGATGCAACCCACACCAGTCAACTAACACCCAAGTACCCATTTTATACTGATGGGTGAACATGGACAACTAGTGTAAGGAAACACGCTCAGTGTCTCAACTCTCTCAGGGCCACAAGCCACCGTGCTCTGAGGAACACAACCCTATTTTACTTGTATTTTTTTCAGTCCATAAGTCACAGAAATTATTAGTTGTGCAGTTTTCAGGAATGTAGCCTGTGCAAATTATGATAATTCACTTATGTTTATTTATACTTTGTATATTTATTTATTTTTTATTTGTTTATAAATGTATTTATTTATTCATTCAGTCATTTATTATGTACTGGTTTAAAGTATCTCATTTTATTCCAAGACTTGTTGTGCTTGTGCAGTATTGTTAGCATATAATAATCCTGTGTGCAATAAAAAATTGATAATTTAGTATTTTTTCCTGTGTGTAACAATCATTCTCAGTACTACTTATATTATTTACAGCTTTATGAAGAGAAAATTGGATTTCCATATGCTTACTTTCATTTATCTTCATATTTTCTCAGCTGTTTGTACTACCTGCCATTTACGGTGCAGTGGTGATGGTCATGGCTAGTCGCTCAGACATGCATCAGTTGGCTGCGACTATTTATGGTGCAGGGCTCGCAGGGCTCTTCAGTGTCTCAACCTTCTTCCATATAGTCTTCTATCTTGGATATTACAAGTAAACTATTTCACACTTGTTCTAAAGGACTTCACTGTTTGTAAATGTTCATTTTTAATTCATACAAGAATGACAGTGAGGTACTCTACACTTTTCCTTTTTTTTTTTTTTTTTTTAAGATATATAATCATTAACTGTGCAAATGTAGATCTGCGTTCTCTCACCCAGCACTCCGAATACAGCCTCTCCTCACTTAGCGACATACTTGTTTATCGATGCCTCGGACTTAAGACAGGCTCTCTGACCAGTATGCATACTTAAATAATGTATATTAGAGCTGATTTCTTCTATCTGTTTATTACAATATACAATACACTACTGTATAACCTTTTAAAAATATACACCTACCATCCTACATACAACCGAGCTTGGTTCCAACCAATTGGTCTAAAATCAAAATGGACGTAAGTCGAACCTTAGAAAATTGCTGATAGGAATACTTCAAAAATTAAATCTTAATCTTGTAAAACAATCATTCTTTTATGTTTGTTGTGGAAATCACTTCAATCTGTTCATTATTATTGATTGGTTTTCACAAAATAGGTGAATAACTTACTTCTGAGAAAATAGCCAAAAGCGCACGCATACCCGAGTACTCGGGAAATATTTTTTTCCCCAAAAAAATCCCTTTTTTTTTTTCAGTGTTTTCGTAAGCTACAAGTGTCTATTACAGTTTGCCCTTGTGCTTGATCCATTTTCTCTCATAAGAGTGATGAAAGAAGGGATAATAAGCCTTATGGTCGGTGTGTCCACAAAGTCTCTTTCCTATCTGCACAGCAGGCCTTCTTTATTATGCTAGATAATATTTATTCTGGCATATTTTTTATGTTTCTATGCTATTGATATTTTGCTTTATGTCATAATAGATCAATTGCGATAGGTAAATAAACCATATTGTTGATATTAGCGTAAGAATAGAACATTTTGTCGGCTGCTCTCTCTCTTGCTTGTGTCAGCACTTCTTTGCAGTTCTATCACAGTTATTGTAATGATTTTATTTGATTATTTTTGTATTTCATTTTTTACCTAACTTTTTATGCTGTTAGTACTGTATTTTATACTGTAAGGTTTAGGAAAAACATTGTGCACAACACAAACAGTTGTTTATTTCTGAGAACAATATTCCAATGTTTCAGACTGAAACGTCATCATAATGGCACACGTAAGTATTGGTTTTCAAACAGAGTTGTCGATACGTGGAAGAATCTTCCAAGTAGGGTAATAGAGGCTAGGACTCTGGGTAGCTTAAAAAAGAGATTGGACAAATATACGAGTGGGAGGGGCTGGGTTTGGTGGGTGTTTGGGGTACGGGAGCAAATTCTTGGGCAGCTTTGGGAAAAGGTTGAACAAATACAGAGGTGGTTTTGATAAGGACCTGCCTTGTATGGGTCACTAGGCCTGCTGCAGTGTTCCTTCAGTCTTATGTTCTTAAGAACATAAGAAAGGAGGAACACTGCAGCAGACTTGTTGGCCCAAACTGGGCATGTCCTATTTTTTATGCTACCCAAGCCATAGCTTTTATAACCTTTTGAACCAGGTAAGAACCAGAAATAGTATATTGAAGCTTGATAAATTTGGATTTAGAAAGGACATAGGTAATTACTGATTGGGGCTGGGTTTGGTTGGTGTCATGGGTATAGGAGTGAATTCTTGGGTAGATTTGGGTAAGGGTGGTTTTGATAAGAACTTGCCTTGTATGGGCCAGTAGGCCTTCTGCAGTGTTCCTCCATTCTTATGTTCTTATGTACCAGCTGACTTTTCCACCACATGTATAACTACTACTACTACCTCTACTTGTGTGGGCAAAATGTTGTCAATAAAGGATCACATTATACTGCTTATGTGTTTATTTTTCCAAGCCTGTGTGGCACATTGCCACGAATAGTAGTCAAATATTGTGTGGTGGTATGCGGTATGCATCTGGCAGCCCTGCTGCCAGACGCACGGTCGTAAGTCGAGTAGTCATATGTTGCGCAGGTTGTAAGTAGGATGGTAGGTGTACTAAAAATGTTATAAATGGTGCAAAGGTGAAATTAAAACACTATCAAAGATGGTTGATACAAACCTGCTACCATTATAGCGTGGTGCTCCTTTCTTAGCGTCGAATTCGTTTACCGATGTGGTCTTAGGAACGGAACTCCATCGTAAAGTGAGGAGAGGCTGTATTTTGAAACAAACAGTTAAATAAAGAGGGCATTTTTCTACATGTAATAGGATAAAAAAAAAATTTAGGGTCAGTACTTACCAAGATATAAGACATCGAAGTTAGCTCTGGATGCTCACCTGACGGCAACATGGAGTCTTGCCGCTTGCAGAAATGTTGCTGATTTACCTTCTTTTTTATATATATAATTTTTATGTTCTGATAATTACAATTTATAGTACTTTTTGTGATTTTGTAGCCAATCTTTGTTCTGACACTAATATTAGGTACTAAAATAGTACTCAAATAGTCACAAACACACTGACAAGTGTGCATTTTCACTGGTCATGGTCACATACTATAAATATATGCAAAGTATTTATAGGTCCCAGCACTGTTTCAGACATGCTGGAGTATATATGAAACTAAACGAATACAGTGTATATCCTCGAGATAATCGGTGTACAACACAATGATAAAATACCAGTGATAAAATAAAAGGAAATAAAATAAAAAACAGTAGTGAAGTGTGGCAGTGGTGGGTCAATCTACTTGTCCTGGTGTTGACATGTGACAAGTGATACACGAAGGTTCGAGTTACCACATATAATGAATAGACTAGGATACCGAGACACAGTTAGGTGTTACCACACAGTGGGTCGTGTTTTGTACCGAAGGACTGTTTCTCATCTCATAAGGAATATAATGAATATAGTGCATAATATTTGGAATATATTCATGGGTCGACCATCACCTGCAAAAAAAAATTGTCAGAGGTGACAGTGAAGTGCAAACTATTGTACAAGTGTTTTTTTTTTTTTTATTATTATTATCACACTGGCCGATTCCCACCAAGTCAGGGTGGCCCGAAAAAGAAAAACTTTCACCATCATTCACTCCATCACTGTCTTGCCAGAAGGGTGCTTTACACTACAGTTTTTAAACTGCAACATTAACACCCCTCCTTCAGAGTGCAGGCACTGTACTTCCCATCTCCAGGACTCAAGTCCGGCCTGCCGGTTTCCCTGAACCCCTTCATAAATGTTACTTTGCTCACACTCCAACAGCACGTCAAGTATTAGAAACCATTTGTCTCCATTCACTCCTATCAAACACGCTCACGCATGCCTGCTGGAAGTCCAAGCCCCTCGCACACAAAACCTCCTTTACCCCCTCCCTCCAACCTTTCCTAGGCCGACCCCTACCCCGCCTTCCTTCCACTACAGACTGATACACTCTTGAAGTTATTCTGTTTTGCTCCATTCTCTCCACATATCCGAACCACCTCAACAACCCTTCCTCAGCCCTCTGGACAACAGTTTTGGTAATCCCGCACCTCCTCCTAACTTTCAAACTACGAATTCTCTGCATTATATTCACACCACACATTGCTCTCAGACATGACATCTCCACTGCCTCCGGCCTTCTCCTCGCTGCAACGTTCATCACCCATGCTTCACACCCATATAAGAGCGTTGGTAAAACTATACTCTCATACATTCCCCTCTTTGCCTCCAAGGACAAAGTTCTTTGTCTCCACAGACTCCTAAGTGCACCACTCACCCTTTTCCCCTCATCAATTCTATGATTCACCTCATCTTTCATAGACCCATCCGCTGACACGTCCACTCCCAAATATCTGAATACATTCACCTCCTCCATACTCTCTCCCTCCAATCTGATATCCAATCTTTCATCACCTAATCTTTTTGTTATCCTCATAACCTTACTCTTTCCTGTATTCACTTTCAATTTTCTTCTTTTGCACACCCTACCAAATTCATCCACCAGTCTCTGCAACTTCTCTTCAGAATCTCCCAAGAGCACAGTGTCATCAGCAAAGAGCAACTGTGACAACTCCCACTTTATGTGTGATTCTTTATCTTTTAACTCCACTCCTCTTGCCAAGACCCTCGCATTTACTTCTCTTACAACCCCATCTATAAATATATTAAACAACCACGGTGACATCACACATCCCTGTCTAAGGCCCACTTTTACTGGGAAATAATTTCCCTCTTTCCTACATACTCTAACTTGAGCCTCACTATCCTCGTAAAAACTCTTCACTGCTTTCAGTAACCTACCTCCTACACCATACACCTGCAACATCTGCCACATTGCCCCCCTATCCACCCTGTCATACGCCTTTTCCAAATCCATAAATGCCACAAAGACCTCTTTAGCTTTATCTAAATACTGTTCACTTATATGTTTCACTGTAAACACCTGGTCCCACACCCCCTACCTTTCCTAAAGCCTCCTTGTTCATCTGCTATCCTATTCTCTGTCTTACTCTTAATTCTTTCAATAATAACTCTACCATACACTTTACCAGGTATACTCAGCAGACTTTTCCCCCTATAATTTTTGCACTCTCTTTTATCCCCTTTGCCTTTATACAAAGGAACTATGCATGCTCTCTGCCAATCCCTAGGTACCTTACCCTCTTCCATACATTTATTAAATAATTGCACCAACCACTCCAAAACTATATCCCCACCTGCTTTTAACATTTCTATCTTTATCCCATCAATCCCGGCTGCCTTACCCCCTTTCATTTTACTTACTGCCTCACGAACTTCCCCCACACTCACAACTGGCTCTTCCTCACTCCTACAAGATGTCGTTCCTCCTTGCCCTATACACGAAATCACAGCTTCCCTATCTTCATCAACATTTAACAATTCCTCAAAATATTCCCTCCTCCTTCCCAATACCTCTAACTCTCCATTTAATAACTCTCCTCTCCTATTTTTAACTGATAAATCCATTTGTTCTCTAGGCTTTCTTAACTTGTTGATCTCACTCCAAAACTTTTTCTTATTTTCAACAAAATTTGTTGATAACATCTCAC